AGCCAATTTGCCACCCACCGGACTGTGTAGTCATCCAAGTCACAGCCTCTTAACTTGTTCACCAGTATGGGGTGGGATACCGTATTGAAGGCCTTCCTGAAGTCTAAGTATACGACATCCACCCCTACTCCTGTGTCCAGGCATTTTGTAACCTGGTCATAAAAAGAGACTAGATTAGTCAGGCATGATCTGCCTGCTACAAACCCATGCTGGTTTCCGCTCAGCATAATTTATCCTGCCGGGCTCTCGCAAATGTGAGCCTTGATAATTTTTTCAAAGACTCTGCCAAGGATGGAGGTGAGACTGACTGGCCTATAGACTTTGCCAAGGATGGAGGTGAGACTGACTGGCCTATGGGTCAGGCTAGATGATCTGTTCAGGTCCCTCCTGATCCTAGCTAGTATGAAACTATGAAACTATGACATTAAAATAGCAGGTCCAGGTCTCATCCCCTGAAGTCAATGGGAATATTGTTGTTAAATTCAGTGGGCATGTCTCCACGAGATATTTAGTATGCAGTAAACTAATTAGCTGTGCTGTAAACATCTTGGCATCTACACATGTGCCCCTGTTAGGCTGGAGTAAACTAATTTACTCTGCAGCAGGATAATGCTTGTAAATACACTTTCCCAGCTGGCTGGAGCATGAGGATGCTTCAGTGTGGAGGCTGTCTGCTGGCTAGCCCTGTGCTGAAGCACACTCATGCCCCAGCCAGCCCCTCTGCAGCATTTTAATTCAGGGGAGAGCAGCCCTAGGCTGGCAGGCTGACTCTTGGGGCCCCCTGACAGCAGGGACTGCTCCAACCTGCTCAATGTGTTGTGATCCTGGGCACATGTGCCAATGGCAATAAAATCCCTGGATATCCAGGGGTCAAAAAATCCCATGGAAAAAAAATGGGTGCAGCGCACGCTCAGGCAGCTCACACTGCTGAAAAGCAGAGCCGGGCCACCCGGAGCTGTTCAGCAGCTGATAGCCAGGCTCCGCGCAGCAGAATTGTTGCAGCTGGAGCCCTGGGTGGCCCCCCAGCTCACAGATGAGCTTCAGCACCGGGGCGAGGGGCAGCCACAGGAACACTCTAGCTGGCTACCAGAGCATCTCTATGGAGGACTGAGCCTCCAGTTGCCTCAGGGTATGGTCCAGGACCGTGCCCTGCCCCACTTTTTTCCCCTGCAGTTTTTTTGACCCCTAGATATCCAGGGGTCTAATTTTGTCCCACAGCACGGGAAGCATTTTTTCGTTCCCGCATGTGCCTCTTGCAGCATCTCAAAAGGCTTTGAGATGGTGCAAGACACATGTGCATGCTTGTGTGGATGTGCCCTCATTACTTTGTGTCCTTTTGGAGAACAAAGGGATTGTAATTATTTCAGAGGTTTTATTTCAATATTATTTACTCAAATGATGATTTAACTGATTTAAAATTAGCATTAGAATATTATGTCTACATCTGTAATCCTAAACTGCTATATTTTGTTGTTCTACATCAGCAATCTTGGTAATGCACAGCCAAGATGACTGAACAAAGGCAACGTGCTTTGTCAACATCAGGAGAAGCATTGTATCAAATTCTGGCTGTGGAGAAAGGGGCAACACATGAAGAAATTAAGAAATCCTACAGGTATTTAAGAAATATTTAAAATATAGGTAACAAAAGTGTTGTATGTCACAACAACATAAACTTGGTTCTATTATGGTTTATATGTATTGTCTAGGCATGTATCTTACAGGCTCCAACCATTCTAAGTAGTGTAAGTCAGAAGTAACACCACCATTAAGTTACCGTAGTATAAACCTGGATATGAGACATCAGTAACTCTGATGTAAGTGATGTAGTGAGTGGCTGAAAGATTCAAAAATAGACTCATTTTGCATCTCTCAGTTTTATGAAGCTAACTAGAGAGACCTTGGGTCTGATTTTTTTGAAGAGTTAACTTAAGTTGCTGGTGCTTCTGAGCTCTGAAAATAAAGCCCAAGGTTTCTCAAATTGAGCTCCCAAATTTTAGAGATCATTTTAGAAAATGTTGTCCTTTGTATAAACCTGGATATAACTGTGGGGTTTTTTTAACAAAGCCAGTGCATATAAAAGAAAAGTACAGGCCAATTATAGTTTCAAAAACATGTTTTATTTTATACCTGTACTGTACTGTAGATGGATTCATTTTTATCAAAAGTGCATGTAAGTACATTAGCAGCTTATATTGGTAAACTGTATAAAGTAGATGTTGTACAGTTTATCACTACACTTTTTTTAAAGATTTTGATATATGAATTATAAAACTAGTTAGTTCCCAGAACATAAATATGTTCCCAAACACAAGTAGTTAGAGATAAATAAAAATACACCCTGTACGTTCCTGGACAATGATGACTATCATTAAAGGTAAGTTATTTATAAAATGCATGAACAAATTACACAGAGGTTTCCTATGCATTATTAGGAAAGGTTAGAAATGACACCTGGTCATATGCCAAAATGGAACAATGATTACTCATCTTTAATGACAGTTTCAGGTCCACATAGATCTAAACCATATGAGAAGCCATCTTTGACTTTGTCTCTCAGTGGAAAAATCAATATAACTACTACTTCTGCTCTTTATTTTTCCTTCCTTCCCTCCTTCCTTTTATATGTGATTCCTTTGCTAGTCCTCCTTTTTTCTTCCTCTCATCATTCATCTTCCTATCTCTGTTTCCCTGCCTTTTTGCTAAATCAACAGCAATTAAATAGTTAATGTTGACATTAAAGTGTCATCAAACATAGGGCTCTGGTGCTGACAACCCAAAAAAAGGGTAGAGGATTACATATCTCTGAGTTATTTTTACGTAACCTGACAGGATCAAGCGCTGAATTCATTTAAAAGCTACACTATTTTAATTATGCTGGAAGACTTAAAGCATCAGCCTTAGTCTAGATGTCATTATATGAGTATAAGTAGTTAAACCAGTATAGCTTATTCCAATTCAATGATAAAAAATATAATGTACTAATTTAAAGCACCTACTGCTAGTATAACTGGGCACCTATACACTAGTGTGGAGGCTGCTCCAACACACTAGAATTCCAGTATGGCAATTGCCACTCCCAGAGCAAGTGTAAAATTGCCCACTTGTTTACACTAGGTATTTTACTAAAATAACTACATTAGCAAAAACATCACAGCTTTGATAAAGATAATGATGGCAAAACTGTCTAAGTTTTGACTGGACCTCAGGCACATATAACCACTTTGTTTTTTTAAGACAGTGGAGCATGGGATTACAGTATCGGTGAATTCATCTGTCTCATCCCACAGTGAAGATCCAAATTAGCATTATTTTATGAGATGTTGGCCAACACAGAATGGCTACAAGCAGCAGAGGACCATTAGCAACAGGGGTCTTCAAAGTGCCATGGAATTTAGATGTGCAGAAAAGGGAGATGCCATTGCTAAGATGTTAAGACTTATTGACTTGATGGGCACGTCTACATGAGATATTTACTATAGAGTTGCCTAATGATCTCAACAATAAATGTCTCGTGTCTACACATGTAGTGCTATTAGGCCACAGAAAACTAAATACAAGTACTATCCTACTGCGAAGTTATTTACTGCACAGCAACGCACATATAGATACTGACCCAGGAGTAAATTGTTCCTGGTCAGCCCAACCAGCAGGGTGCCACATTCTTACCTGCTGCCTAGCCACATGGCTCGGCAGCTAGAGGAACTCCATGGCCCAGCCAGTTCCTTTGCCACCCGATGCAACCACCTGCTGCCTGGAGCTGACCCCCCATTCCCCATGCCAGCCCAGGGCTGGCAGCTGCGGCTGGAGTCTGGAACTCCCCTGACTGCTGCAGGGAGGCAAAGCAGGGCAAGAGCAGCCCTGGCCTAAACTGCTCCTTCCCTTCTCAGTTTGCTGCTGTCCTGGCTGCACATTTAGATACTGTGACCTGAAGTAGTATACTGTGGAGCAATTTGTTCTAGTTTATCCAGTCATATTGGACACATCTACACATGCAATTAGTGCATATGAGTAAATTTAGGAGCTTATTGCTCCGGAGTTCTTTGCTCCTGGGTGCACTGTTTGAGATATACCCAGAAGCAAATTACTCCAGAGTAATTAACTTTGGAGTTTATTCGTGCACAGCATGTCAGCCTGCCAGCCCAAGGGCGCAGGCAGTCTCTCCACAGCTGACTGGGCGCAACATGCTGTGGAGAGACTGGCTGGGTTACAAGGGTGCAACTGGCAGGCAGCCCCACCACTGAAACACCCTTGTGCCCCAGCCATGCTACTGTGCATGAAAAAAGCACTACCCTTCTGTGGATTTTATTATTTTTGTGTTCCCTAATAGGGGAGCATGTATAGATGCTGAGACATTTACCACACAGTTAATTTGTCAACTGCATGGTAAATGTCTTGTGTAGATGCTCCCATTAATTGCATGTGTAGATGCACCCAGTGAGGCCCAGATTTTACCAAGAGTCTTTACTTTTGGCAAATTTCCTGAAAACTGTTTAGGAGGTAAAAACCATGGAAAAGAAAAAAAACAGTACTTTACTTTCATCTTGGCACACCCCTGCATCAAGCGCATCATGTGCCCAGAAGAGGAATCACATCAATTTGACTTGGCTTGGACAGCTTCTGTATAGCTCACATGCTTCAGCTATTGGATAAAAGTACCAAAAAGCCCT